ATTGGTAAAAACTCTGTGATCTGAATAGCGATCAGCATTAGGGTATCTCTCGCGATACCGTCTAGCGGCTTCACTGGCATTACATTGGCATTCCCCATAAATGAGGTGCATGTTGGCATATTCCTGTGTGGTGTACACAGCCATGGTATATTACAAATACACAATAACACGTTAGTCCTGGGAAAAGCCAAGGTCATCGTAAAGAGATCACAAATGTCCAAATCCAAAACACACGCAAACAAGTCCAGTAAACGAAGCCAAAGTAGTAAGAACACAAGATATCACCAGCGAATACGAAAAGATGCGTAGGAAACGAAATAGCGTTGCGTACTGATTTCACAGAGTACTTGACTGATTTGCAGTGCGTGTACCAATACCAATAAGAGGCGTCACTACCTGTCTTGCTCACACTTAACATGGCTCTCTGTCTTGTTCACTCATTTGCGTGTGTGTCTCATTAGCGTCACTATCTGTCTCGCTCACACGTTATGGAATGTCTCTCTCTATCGCATTTAAACCACGCAGTGGTCATTAGGAACGCTTTGGTGCACTAGAATCGTTTTAATGTAAGTTCCAAAAAATTGTTAAAAACTGACTTTGTTTAACAAAAAAATTTTTATGGCTGATCTAAGAAATAATAGAGTAAGTGTTATACCACGTTAGAATCCTTATTAAATGCGCTAACTTTTAAAGGTACTTGCCAAACTGGCGTAGTACAATTATTTTGAAAGTGCGAAAAACTAATTCTGAAAACTTGGTTCGGTATAAAATTATATTTTTTTAAGCTGGAGTGATCGGCACAAGGTTTAGGATTACAGGTTACAGAAGCACTATTCAGGATGACGTAAGAGAAAAAAAAATTGGCAAAAAGTAAATATTTGTAGCAACAGGAATGAAAAAACTGTCTCATGGTGTACATTTTATCGAAAAAAAAAAGAAAATTACTATAATTTCTGAAATACATGACTTAGATTTTTTTATCCTCCTCGCCTATCAGAATGTTTCGGCTTAACGTCGACTTCTGGGACACCCGATATAACAATCCTCAGAATGTCTGGTAATCGACCAGATAAAAGCATATTTACATTAATGTATGAGCTATCATCAAACTCAGGAACTTCAAAAGGAATTGTTTTTTTAAGCTAAATTATTTTTTGAACTGATTAATTTAATACAAAACCGCTCATCAATTTGTAGTCTTCTTAATAAAGGTGGAGGAATACTTTAACTTTCTACTTCCATTACATGGATTGGTGTAGAGCACATAGCCCCAGTTATTATACGCAATGCTTTATTCTGGATTATATCTAATCTTTTTAAAATCAATTTGTTTGCATTTAAGTACGCTAATGTACTATAATCAAAATGACTTCGAACTATACTTTTATAAAGCATTGATAACAACTTTGTATCAGCTCCCCAATGCACACCTGCTAATGATTTTAACACATTGAGACCCCCACAGGCATTTTACATAGATTATTTACATGCTCTTGGAAAGTTAGCTTCTGATCAAGCAATATTCCTAAAAAAATTTTTTTCTCTAACCAAGGCAATGGTATGTTATTATATTTTACAAAAATATCGCATGAATAGTATTTTTTGGAGATAATGAGAGCTCCACTTTTATTGGAACTAATGTTTAGTTTCAACTTATTTGAATAAAAATCATGAATTTGTTCTAATGCCTATTTTAAGTTGTTTACCGCTATATTTACATCTTTATTTACAGTATATACAAGGAAATCATCAGCAAATTGCAAATAGTTTATATTTCTATTTGTAATATATTTATTTATTAAAAATGTACATATGTTATATAACAAGGGAGATATAGTAGCACCCTGCATAGTGCCTTTGTATACATTTCTAGGGCCATATATAATGTTATTAAATTTAACATACATAGTTTGGTCATATATCAAATTAAAAATCCATTTACATACTTTTCCAGGAATACCAAGCTCACACAGAATATTTGCCAATATGGAAGGATCTACATTATCAAATGCACTTTGTATATCGATAAATGCACAAACTGTAGTTGCATGACTGGTAAATGAATGATTTATACCATAGATAAATAAATATGTAGCAAGCTAGATTTATACCTGAGATCAAAGAGGCAAAACTCTTTGCAGCACTATTTGCTTTCCGGAAACCAAATTGTTGTTCAGGTAAAATATTATTTGCTACTATGTAATAGTCTAGTCTGTTTTTCAACATGTATTCAAATAATTTTCCTACACAAGAGGAAAGTGAAATTGGCCTGTAGGAGTTGAAGTCATGTTCTGGTTTTACAGGTTTCAAAATAGGTATCACACATCATTGAGTTATAGGGTATGTTCCGAAATACAACGCAGTGTACTGTCCAATACAAATGATGTATCATTTGACACTTTATTGTACTAGCGTGCCGCCGCCATATTATGTCGGATATCCGGCCATAATAAAATAATTTTTAATTGTGTGTTTGCCGAATGAAGCATGCCAGAATTTGTTTCTATTTATTTAAAATACAAAAAATTATAGAATAATTGATGGTATATTCATTAGGAGGATATAATGATTTTTGTAGCACAAAATGACAAAATAATCGCCAACACTTTTCCAAATGGCGCAAAAGTATGACGTCATATACTGTCCAATGTTTTGGAACGAATCACCAGTATAGCGTTGATTCATGACGTCATTTGCATTGGACAGTACACTGCGTTGTACTTCGGAACATACCCTATGTACTACGTACTAGAGAAGCCACAGAACACTATTACTGAGAGAAGCTATTCCAAACAAAAAATGTGCGCTACTCTATGTTTCGCGCACGCGCGGGAAACAGTGTTATCGCGGCATGCGCAATTGATATAAACGCACATTGCGCCTGCGCGGTCAGTTTCTGTTAATATAGATTATACGTAAGTAGAATGGTCAGTATGTACTAATTGTTTATTTAGATTGTATTATTAATGATATCGAGTACAATTTTTAATTGTTTTTTTATTTTGTATATGTGCTAGTTTAATATAATATAACATAATATTATGTCAGAATTACATGTTAAGGGTATTTTATTTAATATTTAAAAGGTAAATATGTGAAATATAAAAATATACATTTAATATCAAAGATCATTAGCATTAGTATTACTTTTATTTACAAATATATTAATATATATAGTATTATATTTATTTACAAATATATAAATTTATATTAAAATAAGAGAAAATTAAGCATATGTGCTAACCATTTGCACGGTATACCGTTTTGCCGGCTTAACATACATGCTTACTTGTGCAAATTAGAATTTGTGAAAGTAAGATTGAGTGTGTAGCAGGGCCGCTTGACAGTTGAGTCACCGTTGAAATTGTGCAGGTAGCAGCAGATAAAATAATATTTTGTAAGAAGCCACGTGTCTTCGTTTTTATTACGTGTGTACTTACTCGGGTAATAAATGAAAAAGTATTTAAACCGTAAAAATATTTTAATTTCCTTTAAATAATATAAGTTTAATTGAGAGATCAAACTGTTGATTACTTAAAGTACTGAAGTACTGAAGTTATGGAATTCACTGTTCCTGATGAATCTTGAAACGGTCTTGAATTCAAAACTGCATTACATAGAAGTAAAGCTTTTGTTACGCTCATACTCAGCAGCTGTGTTGCAAGCTTTACTTTCATAATCTGTTGTTGAAAATTTATATGACGAGGTGTTAACTTATTTCCGAATCTAAGACCTTCATTTTGCTGAAGCTTAGGATTTATTAGTAATTATCATTTGATTTGTTTGTCATTATTGTTGAACAACAGTCTTTTCTTCTCGAATGTGTTCCTTATTAGTTTTATAACATGACAAGGGTCTATGAAAATGCAAACTTTTTCTCCCATGCATGGATGAGGAAAATAATTCTTCATATTATTGACATAAGATACTTTACATCCCGAAATTTCAGCTGCACCGAAGTTTGCAGAACTACCATCAATTGCAAGACTTACAACTATGTACGCCAGCCTCATGGCGTTTTTGCAAGCATATTTTATCAAATTTTCCTTTGCAACCAGCATAAATACTAAAGCTTGCGTTGCCAGTTGTCACAGTCTCATCTTCTTCACCTTGTATAGGAATAGGACCTGCTCCAAAACAAACTGCACCCAAATTTGATTGTTGTGATTTAGTTTCTGTCTCCTTAAAGCTATTTCGTCAAACATTAATGATCAGAGTACAGGTTTATTGGAATTTGTGTTAGATTGGGATTTAGTTTTTAAGCAGTAAATGATTCTGTTGTAGAACCGGGTTCTGCATTAACCGTTGAATACCGTCTGCAAATTGTCAGAGGATGTGGGTAAGCTTTATTGTAGCATTCTATAACGTATTTATATGCAGCTGGTGAATAATAGTGTAAAGTTAATGCGAATTTACGTAAAGGTGCAGTGTATAATAAATATGCGTGCTCAGTTTGTTGTTTTTCATTAAAGATTTATGTAACTCCAAAACTTCTGCTTACATTAAATCATCCTCAGCATTTAAGTTGAGACCGAATTTATGTTTCAAATTTTATACAATTGATTTGTAAGAAGCACATTTTTTCTTAAGATATTATTTTTTTATTTTCTCATAGATCATAGATTTATCTTTTTATTTTCTTAAATTTCTCAGTAAGTTTCTTTCTAGCTACAGACCTCTTGCGTTATTTATTTTTAAGTACAATTTTTCTCGGACTATCAAAAATTGAATTTGAACTGCTTACTGATTCAGACAACGGTTCTAATACTTCCTGTTCGCCACATTTTGTTAGCTGAAAAAAAGAAGATAATAGTGATTTAGGAAACCCGTAAAAATTCTAGCGTAACAATTTTAAAAACTGCCATATACTAGTATGACTCGCGCGCCGACGAATCCGCCTCTCTTAAGTCCCGTAAATATACTGAATATTATAAAAACATCGTTCGGCGTCTAATCACAAAATATAACAAAAATACCAGCAATGTTATATAATAATATAATTACATTATCACATGGTACGGTGGTAAGAAACCTGCAATTTCTTTAAAATTACTCTTCCTGCTTTTGTGGTATATTTCTCGTTTTCTTTGAAATGCACGGAACATATGCGTGAATAATCTGACGGTAACCACGTTTCTTTGCTGCAATTCTTCTGAACTAATTTGATCCATGATTCTCTTGTGTCGTGACACGGCCGAGGAAACCTATAAATCCAAATAATAAAAAAATATTAATTTTAATGCATTAACATTTCCTACCGTGATTATATATCAATATTTTACTGTCCATAATTATTTAACATTATACGTCGATAGTGTCAAGTCTGCGCATAAAAATGTTTTACTCTTTGACATTCACGTATATGTTACAGTTGATAATATATGATTAAATTAAGCGTGTTTTAAAGATAATATGTTGAACTTACTGGTGAAAAGTCACTTCTTGACTTTTCCTTATATTTCTCGAGTTGTTTGAACATTATCTCAATGCACACGAAGGCATATTAATTTAAAAACAATTCTTCTCTCAAATGTCTCACGTTGCGGCAACTGCTTGACACAGACTAAGTGAGTTGGAGTGCGTGCGCTGCGCTCTAAAGGCGTTAGTACACCTACGCATTCGTATGCGGCAGCGAGTCTCTGCGGAACTACTGCGTAGCGAAATATCTGCGGAACGTTAGTACACAGCAATGTTTTCGCAACTTTTTCACAATGATATGCCATTGTAATTTTCGACGACTGCAGGTGCAGACGTAATTTCAGAATGTCATCTCAGTCATCGCTTTCAGATTCTGAAGAAGAAGAATTGTTATTGCTGGTGTCAGTACTAAAGAGAAAGCGTAGAATCTGGGTGCATGAAATAAATCAGAAACGACGGAAACTTGGAGAAAATAAACTGTGCTTAGAACTTCAATCACATGAAGATCGTTTCTATACCTATTTCAGAATGAAGCCAGAAACTTTTGAATATTTACACAATCTTCTTGAACCTCATATTAAAAAGAAAAATACAAACTACAGAGAGGCTATTCCAACAAAAGAATGACTGGCACTTTGTTTAAGGTCAGAAAATTTATTACTTATAGGTAATGTTTAAGTATTTATTCACGGTTCATTCCAATTACAAAGAAATTCATGTATATTTTTTGATGTTGTGTTGTGTTCTCGTTTTTTTGTTGTCGTGATACTTGGGTGTGTGTAATTCTTCTGCCACTGGGTATGTGTATCAGTGTAGGAGTTAAAACGTTTTGAGTGTCTGGGATTGAATGTGTTTGCGTGTTAGGTATATGTATCTGTGCAGTTGAAACGTTTTGAGTGCCTGGGATAGAATGTGTTTGAGTATTAGGTATGTGTATCTGTGCAGTTGAAACGTTTTGAGTGTCTGGGATGGAATGTGTTTGCAGTTCTTCAGATGGTGTCGATCTTGAAATGTTCCAGTCGTTATCGACGTAGTAAAAATTGGGAGTACTAGAGGATGAAGCATTGCTGAAATTAGAATTTGGCCGGCTATTATTCAATTCTTCAAGTTGAGCCTCAGTTATAATTTGTGTTATTTGAAGTTTAATAATAGCTTGCTTTCGTAGAGAAAATTTAACCTAAAAAATGCATGTCCATTCGATCACACGCTATTTTGACAAGATTTTCTGTAGCGTTTCTGTCCGTAGTACCCGATTTTCGAGTCTTTAAATAATTTATAATCTTCTCAGCAGGATCGTCGTTGCTTACACGGCGTCGTCTTCTCCGGGATACTTCAGTTGCAGTTTCAGCTGTAGTTTCAGCTGTAGACCGTGCTGTCTCCAGTTCTTGAACGACGAGCTCGTTCTGTTCATTATTTGAAACCTGTTCGGCTTCTGTAGAATTTTCATAATCATTCTCTATAGATATAGTACTGGTATCCAGTGTACTTTCAGTTTGTCTCAAGTTTGTGGATGAATCTATGAACGACATCTGTTCAGCCCATTGCCAATTAGCAAGCTTCTTCGCGGCTTGTCCACTGCTTGTTTGCTGACCCTGTTTATATTTTTTATAAGTGTCCCTTAGGTTTCTCTATTTATTTTTCATAGCTTTAACTGTAACAATATTTCAGGTTTTTAGCAACTGGTGACACATACACAACAATATCTTTCTCTTATCGTTTGGGTGAATGCACTGTTTCAAAGATAGTAACTCAAGTATGCGAACAAATTTGGAAGATACTACAGCCAGAGTACATCCCGGTTCCTTCTACTAAAACATGGTTGGAAATAGCTGAAGCATTTCAAACAATATGGGGTTTTCCTAATTGCCTCGGGAGTATTGACGGCAAGCATATTGTTATTAAATGTCCACCTAACAGCGGCTCACTGTTCTATTGCTATAAAAAACGATTTTCTACTGTGTTATTGGCAATAGTTGATCCACATTACAAATTTACTTACATAGATGTAGGATCATATGGTAAAGATTCCGATAGTACAATATTTGAGAACTCATCATTTTATCAGCTTTTAAAAAGTGGACGGGATCTGAATTTGCCAGCTCCAAAAACCTTTGCCAGGTTTCCAACAGACTACACCACATGTATTCATTGCAGATGGAGGATTTAAATTAGAAACATTTCTAATGAGACCTTTCACTAGAGACGCAGCAATGAATGACAATGATAAAAAAAAGATTTAATAAATCATTAAGTAGGGCACGAGTAGTAGTAGAATGTGCGTTTCGCATTTTAGCACAAAAATTTAGAATATTTTTGAGGCCCTTTGAAACAGATTTGAATAATACTATTAAAATTGTTAAAGCTACAGTATGCTTGCATAACTTATTGCAGATACAAGAAGGTGCACACACATACGAAAATAAACAATTTTCGGACACTTTAAGAGCATTCGTACCAATGCATGCCAATAGACATAGAGCAGACTTAGCAACGTTTAATGTTCGATCACAATTTGTAAATTATTTCAAAGAAAATTAAAAACATAAAATGTATGAAATATAAACAATAAATTTCTTACCATCTATCCGAGTCTTTTCTTGAAGTTTTCTCCATGCTACCTCTTTTTTGTACTTATTTTTATAATCTGCGTGTCCAATTGTGTATAATACGGGATAATCTCGAATAGAATGCAAAAATAATTCAGTATTTTCGGCATCCATGGCGCGAAAATCTGTCCTCACCGACAGAACGCGAGCTGACGCTTTGCGATGCGAAACATCACTAGCGAAACGTATGCGTCTGTGTAACGGCCATTTCGCAGGTCCTTGCGAAACAATACTGACAAGGACGCAACTATTTCATCTATCTATGTGCTAGAGTGAGACATATCATATGCGAAAACCTGCCACACTACTAACAGTTTTTTCGTTGTTTCGCTACCGCATACGAATGCGTAGGTGTACTAAAGGCGTAACGCGTGTTACAAACATTCGAGTTGAGGCGTCTTCTCTAGTACGTAGTACATAGGGTATGTTCCGAAATACAACGCAGTGTACTGTCCAATGCAAATGACGTCATGAATCGACGCTATACTATACGCTATACAAAACATTGGACAGTATATGACGTCATACTTTTGCGCCATTTGGAAAAGTGTTGGCGATTATTTTGTCATTTTGTGCTCAAAAATCATTATATCTTCCTAATGGATATACCATCAATTATTCTATAATTTTTTGTATTTGAATAATAGAAACAAATTCTGGCATGCTTCATTCGGCAAAAACACAATTAAAAATTGTTTTATTATGACCGGATATCCGACACAATATGGCGGCTGCACGCTAGTACCATAAAGTGTCAAATGATACGTCATTTGCATTGGACAGTACACTGCGTTGTATTTCGGACCCGCCTAAGGGTATTAGTGTTCTGTGATTTCGGAACATACCCTACCTCCGATAGGAGTAATAGTGTTCTGTGTACCCTACTCAATGTCACACATTGCGTTTTCCAAGACTTTGGAATATATTGATTGTCCCAAAGCATATTAAAGATTTTTAAAATAGTTTTTTGTCCATTAAGATGCATGTTGCTAATAAGTTTATATGGAATATCATCCAATCCTGGAGTGGAATCTCTCCTTGATTGGATAGCTGCAGTAAATTCATGCCAAGTAAATTCTTTCAAGAGAAAAGAGCTACTGTCAGTACCTATCTGATTAAATATTGTATTTAAATTTATAATACTATTTACTTTTCAGATGGTGGTGTTGTTATGGGAGCATATTTATCTAAGAAAGATCCAATCATCATTTTTGATGGCTTATATACAGGTACCCTTTTAAATCTCCTAATATAATTCCAGATATAAGTTATTGGAGTATATTTATTAAATGAATCACAAATTCGTCTCCAACTTGTTTTCTTTTTTATCATTTATTAATCTTTTTTGAAGGTGTCAATCTTTTTATATTCTATATAATTTTCTATTGTAGGATTTAATTTGTAAAATCTTAGAGCATTTTTACTTTTCTTCACAGCTTCCAAACAGTCCGCGTCCCACCAAGGAACTGGTTTTCTCATAACAAACACATTAGGTTTGGAAATTATAGGTATACAGTCTTTCCTTATTTCAAAAAGTGTGGTGCAGAAGTTTTCATAAGTATCAAGCAAATTGGTTGTATCAATTGTGAAGTTTTCAAACTTTTTTTTTTGTTTCAGCCTGGAACCTTGACCAGTCTGCTTTTTTATAATTGAAACGTTCACAAGGTTCATATTTTTTTTTATATCATATTTTTCAACACAAGTATATAAGTCAACTATGGTTGGATAGTGATAATTACCCATAGGATCATCATGTACATGCCAATCACATAAAGGAACTAAAGAAGGACTAACACATGAAAGATCAATAGAAGATTGATTAAAATTAATACTTCCTACTGAAGTTGGAGATCCGTTATTTAATATCCAAAGATCACATTCATCCAACATGTTATAGATATCAGTGCCTCTAATTTTTGTTATGAGACATCCAAAAGCAATATGTTGAGCATTTAAGTCACCTGAGAGCAACAGTGGCGCAGGTAGACTGTTAATAATTTGTTATAATCTTCTAACCTTAAAGCGCCCTTCACTAGGGGAGGCATAGACACATAAAATTGATATATTACCGAGACTTGTAGTAAAGGTTATAGCTACAGACTGCATATAATCATAGAACATTGTGGGGACAACAAAATATTTGAAACTATTTTTAATTAATATTGCTACTCCTCCACCTTTTTTCCATTCTGATTAATGAAATTATAGTTTGGAATGTTGATAGTTCTATTCTCTCGCAGCCAAGTTTCATTTAACAGGCAAATATCTATATCATTCTCAACTAGATAATTAATAAGCAAAGGCTTTTTATTATTAACTGATTGTATATTAAATTGTGAAATTCGAATAAATTGTTTATTCATTGTTTTTAAGATTAGTAATAAGCATTTCTTTTATACTTGATGTAGTCATTTTACAGCCTGAGTTAGCCATGGCCACCAATGCACCAATAATTGCTTTCAAAATATTGTCATTTGTTATAATTTGGCCAATAAGAGTGTTATTATTATTAGATGTAGTATTAGTTTGGGTAGTTTCTGTCTTTGATTTGTGTACTTTAGGAGTGTCATTAGATTTAACTTGTGATTGATCTACTGTTTTTGAATCCATTGTATTTTTTTTGTAGGCATTAAAGGAAAATTTGCATTATAATTGTATAAACTTTGAGTTTGTTTTATTTGTAAGACTTTAGCATAAGTAGACCTATTATATTTTTCATCAATTTTTTGCTTTTTTATTGGACAATCTCTAGAAATTGCGACATGAGGGCCACTACAATTTATGCATTTAATTACCGCGTTTTCCTTACATTCAGTGTACCTATGTTCATCTGCACAAATTGAACACCTTTGCACTGATTTACAAATTTTCGCTCCGTCATTGAATTTAAAGCATTTAAAACATTGTAAAAGCGGGGCAATATATTGATGCACCTTATATTGAAATAAATCCAGATGTACAAAGTCAGGTAACTTAGTTGACAAAAATGTTACACTTAGAGAACTAAACAGTTTGATCTATCCATTAACTTTTTTTGTGAAGCGACGCACTGCGACGAGCTCATATTTTGATGATAGTATTTTAAAAATCTCTTCATTGCTTATGCTGATGGGAACATACCTGAGTACTCCGATTGTTTCCACCGCTCTTGCTGGTATAAATGCCTTGTAATCATACTTCTCTAGGAAGCTTTCATTCTTTAAAAAGTCGTTGGCGGTAATCGCGCGCAAATACCACCCCTACTTTAGAAGCATTTATTCTTCTTATATTAGTGACTATTTGGTTTCGTTTTTGAAAATCCCCACCAATATTAAGGGATTCGCATTTCCTAATTTAACTCCTTCTTTACGACTCTCAATAAAAACCGTGTATTCAGCCATTCTCATTGACTCTGGAAAAACTCTTTTTAATTTAATTTGTAAAATGGCTTATAAAAATCATCATTTTCCCGCTGCATGTCTTGACTACGTTTTGGCGGTTTTCTTTTACCGCCCGCGTCTTGATCCATGGCTTTATTGATGCCGTCACTATCAGACGGCATTTCTATTTATTTCGTATAAAAATTGTTAGTTTACCTTCAGAAGTTGAAACTATTACACAATTATTATAAAACAATTAGACTTTTGAAATTTTAATCAAAAATTACGCGCTTCTTCCTCCCGCCAGTAAAAAGGTGAGCTGTTCTTTCAGTTTATACAAAGGTACTCTGTGGCTGTGGGTGGGACAGCGACAGCATAGATAAATAAATATGTAGAGCGATAGTTACATACTCTTTGTGCCTTGTAATAGTGTTCTGTCTGTGCTCTTTGCTATAAATAAATATATTGAAATGAAAGATAATTTCAAAGTTGATTTGCAATTTGTTTATTTTTGAAAGGAACCTTTTATAAAACAATAACTTTTAAATTTTAATTTGTTTTACAAATTTCTAAATAACTTCGAAATATGGCTACTAGTCGTTTAGAGAGAATAGGCACAATATTTACGAGGTATGTATGTGGTTATAAATTTTTAACCTTATATTTTCACATAAAAAAAAACTTAAAAACGCGGTAAAATTCTTTGCGGCAAAATCTTGCATGTGGATAGGATTTTTACTATTGAACAGCAATAAATTATTTTGTGATTACTAATTGAAGTGTTGATATAACGTCAATGATGAAGAAATCTACTAAATCTAAATTTATGTCTGACGATCTAAATAATTTTATAAATGAAACTCAGTACTTAAAAGATTCACCAAAAAATAAGAAGGTTCAAAAACGACTAAGACCTGAAACAACAGAAGATAGCACTTCCAATACTGTAAACATCAATAATAAAGGTTTAAAGAAAAAGAAAACGGAGGATAGTTACGAGGTTTGTAAAGAATCTCGTCAAAAACTACTGACTGTTATGAATCATCAAATAGAGGCAAGGTATGTAAAAACCCACATGAAAATTTGTGTACCAAACTGTTCAATGAGTTGTATTCAGTACTGTTATACCATTCTTGTGTTTCAGGAAAAAAACTAATGAAAACTTACTGAAAAGCTTATCAGAAATTGTGACTCACTTGGAGGCAGATTATAATGCCTTAAAAGATAATGAACAAAAGTTAGAACATCTTACAGGAGCATTCATTAAGTGCATTCAGCAGACCACTAATGCACACAAGCAGAAACTTAAAGCGTTAAAAGAAGTTCATTTGTCCTTTGAGAAAGAGTAATGTATATATAATGTATTATTTAATTTTTTAATTTGCTGAGTAGTTTCTTATAAACTTTAATTTGTAACAGATGTGAGGAAATGGAAACTGATCATAGAGCAGACACTGATAAACTAGGAGAAGAACTAAAAGAAGACATCAGAAAACTACAACAAAAACTGGTGTCTGAAACAAAACGTAGTGGATGGGAAACATTGAGAAGAACTATCTTTCAAGCAATGCAGAATGATTTTTAATTTTCATTATATTAATTTATTACCTCTTCCTATTAATAACTATTGATTAAAAAGAGTACTTCTTCATGCCTTTTTTTATTTATAATTATCTGAAAATCTGAAAATATTTATAACTAGAAACAGTTAAAAATTTTCGACATTTATTAGCCATATTGACAGTATATTTTCAGGCTGTTGCTAATTAATAATTATATGTATATTGTATGGTTAACATTCATGCTATAGTCATATAAATAAAAATGGTTACACACCTAATAATTTTGAAAGTTAAAAAGTTCAATTCTTTCAATATTATATTTTATATAATTATAATGAAAGTGGCTTGCGGCCCAAGGGCCACCCTAAAGCCTGTGACTGTCAATGAAGTTACCTGAACTCTTTGTCACTGATATTACAGGATTGGTTTAATGTTTTATTAGACACAAATAGCCTAATCATGAGTAAGTATCGGAGTATATGAATAAATAAAATTAAATATATGGGATGAATAAAAATAAATAAATTATGTGATAATGGTATAAATAGGAAAAAGTAATTGTCCTATAATCATATGAATAGACACTTCCATATTTAAAATGGGCCAAATTAAGAGTATCTTTAACCAATGAGCATGGCTGCGTTTGGCAGAAAAAAGCGCTTGTAAGCAAAATGGTGATCGTAAGCGGTAAACCCTGTCAAATCGTAAGTAGCTATTTTCCTCTAGGACTAAAGTTAGTTTCAACCGGGGAACCTAACCTAATTTAAATATATGTAAAGTATTCATATTAAAAACTTACCAATCATGAATTTTTAATAACATGTATATGGTTATTCATGTCATTATATTACTTAAAACTAATATTGCATAAAACAACTTATAAACTGTACTTCAAAAGTAACAAATTAAATTAGCAAAATGGCGGATTCTGTCAGCGCTACTGAAGTTAGCAAACGGAACCTGGCACAAAACTGTTTAGTTTCGCCATTTTGCTTACAAGCGCTTGCTAGCGCTTTTTTCTGCCAAACGCACCCCATGTATGAGTAAATTTATGGATGTAAAAGAAGCAATATCAGTACATTATCTCTCACACAACACTACAAGATCTCTGGTTGGGATTGACAATTCTGAGTGATCTTTAGAGCCAGAGTTGCGAAATGGCTGATAATATGAATTGCATGTTGCATGGTTTTATGTATCCTGAGCTGAGCAAGCACTCAGATTGACTAAAAGCTGCAATTTTTTAACGTCATACATTATAATGGAAATCATTCAATATCCTATCAAAAATATCCAGCTAGCCTTCAACATACAATTTGACGAACAAAATTGTATTGTGGCCACAGTTATTTTGTTTGGTAACATTTAATAATGAAATGTTCAATACTTACACCACACTTTTGTATAAACTAGGAATTATTTTCTATTATTATATTTATTATAAAGTTCTTAATAGTTATTATTATTTCATTTGGCCTGTGGGCTATGTGTTTCTTAATTCCTTAACATCAAAAAAATTTTATACCTTAAAATTTTCCTACAGAAAACTATTAAAATCTGGTCGTACTTGCACAGCTATCCATTGATTTTAAAGTACATGAGATTTTCTTCATTTTGCAATTTTCGTTCATATTTTTTAACAGAGGAGAAAGTTTGGTCGAAGATTATGTCGACTCGAGACCAATGGGAGCGCGACAAATGACTAAGAGTATATCGGCGGTTGTCGCTTTTTGTCGCTCTTATTACGACCCGTAGCACATTTGTCTCCTGTCCACACAAGATTTATTTAAATATTTTAAAATTATTAAACCAGAGAAACTGTCTGCCATTTCGTGAGAATTTTTATTATATACTGTATAACCTTTTTAACTGCCTGTAAAAAAATAGGGAGTAACATGTGAACGGAGTAGAAACCTATAGCACTTATATTTTACAAAAAATTAATAGAAAATTTTCGAATTAAAAGTTTGCAAATTTATTTAACAATTACTTTGCCCTTCGCTCTTGAGCCTGTGACCCTGCGAAGTGACAAGGTCAAAGATGCCTACTAAATTTATTGTCATATTACCATACGTAAATTGGAGTGGATATGATTTTAATTTCGATAGATTTTAACTTATTAACAATTATTTAATAATTAAATTTACTAATTTAATTTTACTTTTATAACTATAGACTTCTTCTCCGTTCACATGTTACACTCTATTTTTTTTTCAGACGGTAAAAAAGGTCCAGTCATCCAGTATAATAAACACGCTCTAAAAATGGCGGATTAAATCAAACCATTTTTTTGGATGTTTTAAAAATACGACTTTGCGGGAGTTTGCCCCTATATCAACCCCTTCTGAATTGTCTGCCATTTATTTTTTCTTAATTATTTATCAACTTAGCTAAAGGACAATCTGTATTATTATTTGAATCAACACACTTTTTGGGTGAATTTTTGCAACTTACCTGTAAGCGCGGCACCAGATGTACCCAAGTGGGCCAGGCAAACAGTCATAATATACTTGCTTATTGAGTGGACCGATACCTTGCAACAAAGTTTCATGATGCATCAAACACTTCATAAGCTCTCGGACCATTACCCGACTGACCCAGAAGGCGTCTAATGTATAGTATGTATAAATATATTTCGCTGTGAGCTTGATGAATTTTATTAACATATAGGATGTCTTTAGATTTGCCT